GTTTTGAAAACAGCCAAATCGTCAATAAACACGTGAACGGTATAGGTTAGGTTTAAAAAAGATGTTTATGGTAGGTAGTAGGTACACGGTTTAGGTATTAAATCAAATCTCACTGTGAAATCATTATTAGTTCCTGCTGATTTTGTTCTTTGTATAGTAGCAGCCGGACGTTAGAAATTTCTCACGGTTCAAGATGCGTCGTCTCGTTTGCTGTATAAGTAAATCAATATTGTATTATTATATTGTATAACGAACACTAACGAGGGACAATAATGGGCATTTGTGGGCTTCGCAACCTTCTAAACTATCCGGAACTCCGTGCCGAGACGCAAACCGAATTCGTGACGATGACGACGACGATGAGGCAACTTCCAAATGAGATATCTCGTCAATCACTTCGGTTAGAAATTTAMACAACGTCCATGTGTGCATATAATAGTATTTATCAACACAATATACATGTATATATATATGAAGTAAGCTTGACGACAAAGGTTTGAGACTCGTTCTATATATAGAAATAAATCGTTTATAGAACTACAGCGTCCGTTACGACAAAATTTAAATCTATTGTGTTAGCTGCGAACACGGATATATATTTTGTCGTCCACCGCGTCGACTTCTGTTCCCCTATCTCCATCAAAGGAGTTTAATATCATTATGCACTGCGTGAAATGTATACGCCGACGAATAATTTAATTTTACGTAAAACCTCATGTCAGCTTTGGATTATCCACGTTAAATGTTTCTATGTTAATCAGTAAATTATAATGTCAATTAATATTGCACTGACTTATAATTATTAGTATTGTTATGATTATTATTGTAAATTGTTTATGACACATCGATATCAAGTTTCTCGCGTGGTAAACGTAATTATTATAAATGCTTGAACGTAATTGTATAATTTTCATCCGATTGTACCGCATTTAATTAAATTATCCTTAATAACAGCGTATATAATGACTACTAAACKATAGTAGGTACCTATAATATTAGTTATAGGTATTTTGCATGTAAATGTATACTGTATACTGAGAGAATATGTACCGATATCACAATCATAATCAATATTATTATWATATTATTTCATTTTAACTCGAAATCTGGTGCATACATTATTGTAATGCAAGTGTTGTGCATTCCAATTCATCATCATAACAATATTGTTTTATGATTTATATCGTTATCTATTGTTTTTTTTTTATGATACACATAAATACCCCATCCATCATATTGCGTTACCATAATACACAGTGATCCATTAACGAGTAGCAAGTGATTGCCTTTGGAAACATTTAACTTTAATTGTTTTAACCATTTTTTCSGTAACTATAGATAAGTGGTAATATTTCCTCACATCAAGATTTATAATATTTAATAGATTTAGTGTTGTTTAGTTTAGTGTTGTAGTAAGTTTTATCAAAAAAAAAAAAAAAAA